GGGGGGGGGGGGAGGAAGGGGAGGAATAATGCAGAAAGATGAATGGAAGACGGATGACCAATGAATGGAGGATTGTTATTATTAAGTCGGTTAGGTGACAGGCTCTCCACGGTTAAAAAGCTCCGGCTCTGTGCCGGAGACAATAGCCTTAACAGCTGTAGGCAGAGGTACCGATAATCAGTGTCGTCTTCGACGGAAGCGAGACGAATGTCTAATGAGCTCACGCATTCAGTCACGTTTTTCGCGTCTTCTCCGGCCGCCCTCCCGCCCATAATCCCGCGGGGAATTTGAATTTCTAATGACGTACGAGCCCGGGCACCGAGGATTATCCACGAGAGACGCCCCGGCCCTCGGCTTCTCCCGGCTTCCCAGCTTCGGCAAATGTGTACCTTCCACTCGCGTCGAATTAAACCGAGTGGCTAAATATTTGCGAACGCGGGACAGTCATCGACGACGGTGGAATCCTTCCCTCTGCCCTCTCCGATTCGACGGCGCGACATCGACGATAGATAGAAATTCTCGCGATACACCGAACTCGGCGACGTTTGTTTGCGCTGCAAGTTATTTCGGCTTTGTGGCAGCGCGATACTGCGAGCTAGTTGCACGGATGTTCCGCCGGAACTGTCGCGATGATGTACGGTTAAGGTGCCTAGTACGAGACACAGCTTTTTTTTTTTTAGATCGCACTTTTCGATTGAAAGTACTCGTATGAAAAGCAGATACACCTTTAAGAACTAATATACATTTATTATTATTTCGTTAATAATTCGTAAACAAAGCCGCAGATTGCATTTTCACAAAGGAAAAAGTTACTTAGAATGGCCTCAGTTACCCCACATTTCCGTACTGCGAGACATTTTTGGGACACCCTGTATGCATTCTTTCACGATCCACTGGAAAATACAGAACTGACACGCGTTGCTTTATAAAAATTATAAGACTGAATGTATTTAAATTTTCGACTATCTGTAGCGCGTGTCAGGTTAAATAAATATGTTCAACAATTTTCAAATAGCTTCACGATTTCAATAATTATAAAATGAAAAATGTGAAGCTTATTGCGGTTATTAAAAGAAGTAAGATCTGTTTAAATAATTTATATTTCTTACAATTAACATAGACAATTTTTATTTTGTATAAAGATCCGCGGTCTATTAATTATTCGGTTAAAATTGAGAGGTGTTTAATTGTCGATCGCAATTAACGACTGAGCTGGAGATTCAATGGTTAATTGCAATGAAGGACTGAAATAGAAATTTCATTGTTAATTACCTACTGGAAAATATAGAAGTGACACGTGTTGCCTTATAAAAATTATAAGATCGAATTTATTCAAATTTTCGACAATCTTTCGTGCGTGTCAGATTAAAGAAATACCTACAACAATTTTCAAATAGCTTCACGATTTCAGTAATTGTAAAATCAAAAATGTGAAGCTGATCGTTTGACCCGCAGCGGTACGTTTAATGTTCAGATAACTTTTCTCTCTGATAAGGTAAGATTATTTAAACTTTTCCATCGGGGCAGCTAATCGTTCGAATTTCGAAATATCGCGTTGACATAACATTCTACGCGCTTGAAACTTGAATGAAACCGAAAGAAAAAGAAAACCGATTTTTTGGTAACAGTTTGGGCGGTGTCCTCTCCGCCGAAATAGCGGAGCGTTCGAAGCGACGCAGAAATCCTGGGAATGCTCAGCGATTGCTATGATGCGCAATTGATACTATTACAGTCTCCATTAGCGATTATTTGGTTCGAGTTAGATAGAGAACCGTTCCAGCGCGAAGTAGTTCAAACTCGTGATCGAATATAAATTGAAGCAAATCGAGTTTGCGTGAAAGATGTTCGGACACGTCCGGAATATGTAACTCGATCGACGTCGAACTTTGGCGGCCGACATCTGAGAAGTCATCTGGAAAGTTGCCGGTCTTTCATGACGTTCGCGAAGGGCATTTTTTTTTGTTTTCCGCGGAGAGCGAATTTTATTCCGCAACGAAAGGAGGGAAAGCCGGTCCACGCGGACCGTTCCGCCGGCCCTGTTTGAAAACGAGCTCGTGAAAATTCAGTTTTCCGCGCACGTTCCGCGGCGCTCCTCCTTTTTGCCTCTCTGTCTGTCACTCTGTCGTCCACTTTTTCCGCGCGGAAAACTTGAGCTCTTTTCGGAAAAAGTTGATATTTCCAGCGCACACCGTGTTTCCGCGCCGTATTACATTCGCGTCAGCCCGACAGACATCGCGACGCTTGATTCGCAATAAATTCGGAATGATCGAGACCGGACGATGAAAAATTCTCCACTTTTTACCGGCGAAGGAAATGAACGTTCATTCGAACGTAATTCCGCGCGGGCCGGATACTATGCCGATACCGCTCACGATTTTTTATTTTTCGAATACCTCTCGCGCTTTTCTGCTTCCGAATTTCTCGCGTTCCCCGCATTTTTTATTCGCCATTTCGGCAATAATGACAAGGTCGAACTGTCTATTACATGGAACACAGGCTCAATTGTGACCCTCTCTCGCAACAATAGCACGGATAGTACAATAAAAAATAAATGCAGCACGTAAAAGTCGATGTAAAAATTCTACCGATATGTTCGAACATTGTTCTTTATAAATTCGCTCACGCGGACACTGTTACGCAACAATCAATTGTAAAACAAATGTTTATTCGGAAACGGTTATTTTAACAGCATATCCGCGTTTCATACGCAGTGAGAGCATCGTGTACTGATTGTACCAGTTCATGGAACGCGTGCTTCGTTTTTCCAATTGCATTTTTTCCGCAGCCGAAGTACAGCAAAAATTCTTTCTCTCACGTTACGAGAGTGCGGATAGAATATTAAACTCACGTTTTCATCTTACATACGGCTAATTAAGAGGAGAGCAGCGTGTAATAAAGCAGGAAAAGGTTTCCAGGAAAAAAACAGCTGCACGAAGAACGATAAAGTTAGTCAAGGAGAGAAAAAAAGTTGCGGCGAAATGTCTGCGAGACACAAAGAAAAAAACAGATGTAAAATGAAAAAATGTGATGTTGCAGTTTACGTGAAGCTTATAACAATGTTAACGTCGTATAGTGTTTAAACCGTACCTTTTACCTCATTCGAGGGAGTCGTCGAATCGGTCGGTTAGCATAATGCTTCGATTTTTTCAAGACTGCGATAATTGAAACTCGCTGCGAGTGTTTTTTAGTCGATAGCGGCAGCCTATCGCATTTCGTTTTTTCCTCGGATCGAGCGGTTACGAAATTCGAAAGAGCGATAGCTCTCAGGTCACGTGATCTTGATCCAGATCCACACGGAGCTCGATCGGTAACGTCGCGAGATAGCATTCGAGGTCACGTGACCGCAAGTGAAAGCCACAGGTCTCTGGAATCTGCCGCAATCAAGGCTCAGTATGCGTCAACATTAATTCCAAGCGGATAGCGTTACAACGCCGCGCCGCTTTGACAATTTGTTTATCACACCGTTCGGCGCAGTGCTTCAAAATGCAGAGACCGGCGTGCGCGATCCGCGAGTGCGTTTAAAAAGGTGTCGGAGCCAGGTAACACCAGTGACATATCCCTGGAAATTTTCATTAATCACGCGATATCGAGCGCTCGAGGCTCCGCGAGAATTGCTCGCGTTCTCGTCGAAAATATCAATCAGCTCGTCTTGCCGCTAATTTAATTGAAGAGAATTGACGGGATCGATTATACGCCGGGAATATAAATCGGTCTCGGATTATTACGGCGCTCCTTACGACCGAACTTCGAGATTTATAACGATCGCGGCGCGCCAAGGAAACTTTAATTGGATGTGTGCGTGCTGCACCTATATGTGGACACCCTTGAAAAATGTATCGCTCGAGTTTCCGTTGCAGGCACGGATAAAGACGGTGGGAACCGTGATTTTAACACTTGGTTCACGCAAGCGATCAAAATGACGGGTCACTAATTTTTTCATTCACGATCATCGGGATCGTAAAGACACATTTATGAGTTATTTGTTCAGTGTATGCGTCGCTTGTGCTAAATATTGTATATACCGACACTCGTTCAAAGTCAAAATAGGTGTCCTATTGTTGCTTTCCTAAACTGAGATGAAACAGCTGCTTTCAGTGCTTCGTAAATCTAATAAACTTTTAACGGCTCTAAAATTCAGCTCCGATTTGAAAAATATTATTCTCTGGTAGAACATATGCACACGTATTTATGCACAGCTGTACACGGCCAGGCGTATTACAAGGATGCTTTTTAATTGTAATTGGAGAGCAGCCCGCGGTTCTTGCGCAAATTATTAACGTCCGCCGCGGTCCGTATTAATTTGCAATGTAACTCGGTCTCTTCTGCCCGGATTTATCTCTATTATTTTTTGACGGAATTAAATCAATTAAGCGATCACGTTCTACCAGACATTCTTGTGTTTTAAGCGTTTTCGACAGCTGAAATTACACGGACGTTTCCTGCCCCGACGAATAACACTTCTACCGGCAGAAGAGATCGCACTTAATTAAAAGTTTTGTTGTTTTAATTTTTATTCGGTTACGCTCCTCATATCCAGTGACTCGCATTGATATTCGGACACCTTTTAATGCAGAGAGGGTCTAATTTACCGTATAATAACTGATATATTTGTTCTTTTTTAATCTTGCTATTATTTGGGATGACAGAAAACATAAAAAGTTCATGTTTTTCTAAGCTTCTTAGCTGAGCCTATAACGAAAATTTAAACAATACGTTTAGTAGATCTGGGTGATTTATATGTATGCTAAACATTTTACCGAAATCGGTTGACACAGAGTCAAGCTAACGGCGTTGAAAGATGTAAAAAATCTTTAGATTTGACACAGTTTTTGGTCGAAAGTCCTGGAAAACTTTAATTGTTTGTAACTCGTAACAAGACTGCGGATTTTTATGCAAAATAAAAATGTTCCGCATCGAACATTTTTTCTACGTTTTTTCTCTAATCGATGTAGTAGATTAAAAATAATACATCGACATTTTTAAATTCTTTCGAACTTCTTATTGTTTCAAGTTGCAACTGCTCAATTTTGACCTAAATGCATAGAATTCGCATATTACTTATAATTACGTCAACTGATTTCGATGAAATTTTAAGCATGCAAACCTTCAAAACGCATTGTTTAAATTTTCGTTAGAAGCTCAGGTAAAAAAGTTAAAAAGCTAGAGTTACTTATTCTTTTTTCATTGCGATCAACTGCAATTAAAAAAAGAAAATTCGTGGACATTGTCCAGCAAAGTAGTAGTTTCTCTAACATCTCGAAAAGATACGACTCATTTCTGTCCACATTGAAAAAAGTTATTCTGTTTTAAAACCTGTCCGAATGTTAATGCGAGTCACTGTATGTTAACTTTCCGGCCGTTCGTTTATCCAATCAAAACTGAATTAATTGAATTCGGCTCGGTCCCTTTGGTCGTTACAATATCCATGGGACCGAAAAAACATTGTCGACAACCGTTGTCGCACTGACTCCTGTAACAGATGAACCGTAAAAAAAATTCCATCCGGAGTTTTACGATCCGAAAACGCGGATTTCACTCGTCGTTGCAGAGATCGAGCCTCCGGGACCTCATAAAGCTATGGATATCAATCTGTACCGAATGCAATGGAAATTTTCGAGACGAAAATCAATGATCTTCCCTTAATTCAATTTAATAAAATGTTTATCTTAAGAGGTAGATCTTACCATCCTGACTTCCTTCAGGAATTCTGTTGCTTAATACCATCGCTTTTTCTATTTAGTTTTTCTATTATCATTTATTATCGTCTGTTCAAATATCAATAGCAATTTCCCTTCAAAAGTACTGTAAACACCGATATGGAAAAGACACTTGTTGCTGTTTTCAATTTCAGCGAAGACATCTGCAGAAAGACCTACTTACAGTTTCGATAAATAATTATTAAGATCTTTGCTGTCGGACTGCAGGTTTCAGCTCGCTAAAATCATCAGAGGAAGAAAGATATCTCCATTCGGCTCCGGTAAAACGCGCGGTCCATTTATAAATTTAACTTAAAGCGAGCCCCGGTAGCATAGAGAATAATATCTTGCTACATAATTAAAATTCTTGTTGCTGCACCGTATATTTCCATCTCACTGAATTTATTACACAGAGAAAGTAATTTCGTTTTGGCTTTGTCAGTTTTATTATGATCCCGGGCTAGTCGCACCTGTACAGTACACGTGTACCGAACGGGAAATCTCCCAGGAAAAATCTCAGGATTAAAGCTTAACTCTGATACTATATAGTTACACCGGGAAAAGAATTTCGGAAGCTAGTCGTTAATTAATAGACCGTGGATTGTACGCGTTTGTGGCAAAAATGAGTGGCTGCGACGACGCTGCTAAAAATTCAAGGTTATTGTTGCATTATTTCCAACTTGTTACGATTATTAAAAGAAGCAAGATAATATTTTTAAATAATTTATGTTTCTTGCAAGTAGCTTAGACAATTTTTATTTTACGTAAAGATCCGCGGTCTATTAATTATCCGATCGACAATTAAAATTAAGAGGCGTCTAATTAACGACTGAGCTGGAGATTCAATGGTTAAATGCAACGAAGGACTGAAATAAAAATTCAATTGTTAATTAAAATGCGTGATTTTTGCCGAACTCTGATCCAGGTGCGTGCGCGGAGCAGGATCTTCGGGATCGCCACCGTCAACGACGCTGTCCCATCGCGCTTTGGGGTGGTGGCGGCGGTCAGGTGGTGGAAAGGTGGTGGATAGGTGGTGGTGGCTGGCTGGATTGCGCACACGCGCGGGATTTCCCGGGGAACCGGGTCTTTCCGGGTCTCCGACACGGTTTTCCCTCGTACGGCTCACTCCGGCGTCCGACGTGCGACACGGCAACAGGTGAGAGACGGGACCGACTCTTCGCGGAAGATCCTCGAAACGACCAGAAGGATCAGAGAGGGAGATAGAGTGTGTGACACACTGGTGACGGTGACGCGGCGATCCACGCGTCTCGATCCGATCCACGCGCGTCCACGTTGCGAGAAATCCAGCGACGGATCTACTATCGGAGAGGGCGAGGCTAGTTTTGCCGCTGGACAGACGAATTGGGGGAGAAGATCCGTTTCCCGGGGGACCGGAATCGTCGAGGGAAAATGAGCGTCGAGGACGCCATCAACTATAAGCCCAGCGAGGAGGAGGATTACTATGCTCTCCTCTCCTGCGACGAGAACTCTACGGTGAGTTTCGTTCTGTGTTTATAAGATTTTTTAGTTTCTACGACTTAATTTTGGCTTTTGAGACTAGATTTTAGTTTCCAGGATTCAATTTTAGCTTCTAAGATTTCATTTTAGCTTGCAGGACTTAATTTTAGCTGATAGTACTCAATTTTATCTGTGGGACTCAAGTTTAGCTTCTAGAACTCAATTTTAGCTTGCTGGACTCAATTTTAGCTTGCTGGACTCAATTTTAGTTTGCAGGACTCAATCTTAGCTGCTAGAACTCAATTTTAGTTTCCAGGATTCAATTTTAATTTGTAGTACTCAATTTTTGCTGCTAAGATTCAATTTTAGTTTCTAGAACTCAATTTTAGTTTCCAGAACTTAATCTTAGTTTGCAGGACTCAATTTTAGTTTCTAGGACTCAGTTTTAGCTTCTAGGACTCAATTTTAGTTTTTAGAAATCAATTTTGGTTTCTAGAGCTCAATTTTAGTTGTGACAGTCCATGTTTTTAGAATTCATTTCACACTAAATTATCCAATCTAGTTTAGCATTTTTTTTTATTTTAACCCATTGCTATATTGCACTGGGTCTCGATGTCCCACATTTCTTTCCGAAAAAGTGATGTTATCATGGGAAGAACCAAAATTAATAATTAAGTCAACACACTTGAAAAGTTGTCAAATGTTTGCGTCTCAATAATATTGTTATGTTTTGAGCGACAATTGTTCGAAAACTGAACTGGGCCCGAGAGACCCAGAATAACATAAACGTCTCGCACAGGAAGTGTGACAACGGAGGGTTAAATTTGCAGAAATTATGAATTGTACTCTTTCGTAGAAAATGATTGAATAAATTTGTTAATCGATAGAAATGACGGAAGATCTAAATAAATACGATCTTCTCCTCGTTATAAGCTCGGTAGTTTTATTGCTGAGATGTTGTTTCGTCGCTGCTGTTCGAGTTCCATTTGAAATACGTTGTAAAAGTGTTGCGCGAATTTGCCACCCTTCCGTCGCTGTGTTTATCGGATCAAATGCGCGCAGGAAACAGAAACGTAATGGACGAGAGAAATCTAAACGAGACACTAAATGATAAAGCGATGTTTGCAACAGAGGAGAGCCGCAATTTATTCCGAGAGACCACCTTATTTAGCCTACCGTTTTTGAGACGGGATTGGTGGAGAATGCTTTGCTTGGATGATTGCAGTGGTTGTTTTGTATGTTATTGTAATTTGCGGTACGGTTTCGCAGTTCTCGGGTTAATTAGCCACCCATTTCCAGTTTCAGTGAACAGTGCATACTTTGCGGAGGGTTGCGTAAAAACTCGATGCTCGCGAAGTTTGTTTGTTTTTGTTGAGGAGTGACCTATGCTTTGTTCTGCCATTTGAAGTGTGTTTGTTATTTGAGATAGATCATTAGGCGGTTGATGGAAAATATTTACCGCTGCGAATTTTTATGCAAAATAGAAATTGTTTAGATCAATTGCAGGAAATAGAAATTAAATGGCTAGTTCGTTCTTTCTTGAACTATTTTAACGGATTAAAAATAATAAATTGACATTTTTCAATTCTTTTATTCTTTCTACTATCTTAAATTGCAATTGCTCGATTTCGCTGTGAATGCATCATAATCGCGGTCTATTCATCAGACTTGCAAATTCATAATTTTCGAGCAATTATTGATTACATGTACGTATACACAGTCAGTGAAGCTTTCTGGAGTATTCCTACTATTTTAAATTACATGAAATCTACAGTTTATTATTTATCACTCACTAACGTTGCTCTCCGATTTTCTATTCAGAATTACTATCAGAAAAATAGAGACGACGATTAATAATCTTTGATCGTGTTCTGGTTATTTCAATGGAATTTTCGGGGTATTTTATAATTCTACATCTTTAAATTCTTGTCATACTTCGACCGTCGCGCCAGCAATCTAAAAAAATTCATAAAATAGAAGTATTTCACGTAATCGAATAAAATTGATAAATTCTAGCTGTCCGACATCGATCGCTTTTTCAAACATACCTACATATTACAGTGAAAATTCATTTTCAAATCTGAGCAAATAGTTCAAAGCGTTAATCTTCGTACGATCTCGAATTTCACCTATTCATACGGCAGCTTCAAAGTACACAGCTGATCACTGTAGTCGTGCTCGCCAAAGGGTTCGTTCCAGAGAATTCAAATAAATCACGCACGTCACTGATCTCACGGATTCCTCGACATTCAGGAGTTAATGACAAGTCGGACGCGAAGATAGTCAATCGAGTTAGGAGACTACCCTGATTCGACATTCTCCTCGAGCTGGAGATTCTTCCACGCTCCGTGAAGCACGCGTTATCGAATGCTTTGCCGGAAGTTACGCACGGATAATTAGTTCCAGTGTCTGTCGCGTGAAACAGGGATAATTCCATCAGCGTCCGTGGAACTTAAATCATTCAGCCACGGCCGAACTTCCTCGATTAATATCGATCAACGCACCGGCGAGTATCTGTAACGCAAAAATACGCTGCTCGATTTATCCTCGTTAACGCTTTTTATCTCACTCTTTCTCTCTTTTGCCCACTCTTTTCATTTTTTAGTCGGAACCAGCATGCGATTAAAAGCGTAACGATTCGATTAACGGGTTGATTGCAGCGGTGGTCGCCAGTGTCAGGGGAATCAAATAGACTATTCCAATTACTGTGATTATTTCGTTGTAATGAAATACGCGTCGATTGGACACCGTCGTTCGATGACCGTCCAGGTGAAACGCGATTTTGACGCACGATTTGTTCAAATTTTGGAACGTTTTCGAGCTTGCGAAGGAACGGGAAGATAGCAATAAAAGAGTGAACATTTAAAGTTTCTGGAAGAATAAGAAGGTAGCAATAAAAGTGACGATTTCAAGCTTGCGAAAGAGCAAGATGGAAATAGAGAGTGAACAATTTCTAACTTAAGAATAAGCAAGAAAGTAGCAATAAAAGAGTGAACATTTCAAGCTTCTGGAAGAATAAGAAGGTAGCAATAAAAGTGACGATTTCAAGCTTGCGAAAGAGCAAGAAGATGGAAATGGAGAGTGAAAAATTTCTAACTTAAGAACAAGCAAGAAGGTAGCAATAAAAGAGCGAACATTTCAAGCTTCTGGAAGAATAAGAAGGTAGCAATAAAAGTGACGATTTCAAGCTTGCGAAAGAGCAAGAAGATGGAAATGGAGAGTGAAAAATTTCTAACTTAAGAACAAGCAAGAAGGTAGCAATAAAAGAGCGAACATTTCAAGCTTCTGGAAGAATAAGAAGATAGCAATAATAGTGACGATTTCAAGCTTGCGAAAGAGCAAGAAGATGGAAATAGAGAGTGAAAAATTCCTAACTTAAGAACAAGCAAGAAGGTAGCAATAAAAAGTGAAAATTTCAAGCTCGTCGAAGAACAAGAAGATAGCAATAAAGAGTGAGAAAAACGTTCAAACTTTTGAAAGAACAAGAAGATCGTAATAAAGTGTGAAAATATCGAGCTTGTGAGAGAACAAGATGGTAAGCAATAAAAAGTCAATATTTTCAAACTCATGAAAGAACAATAAGACAGCAGTAAGGAGTGAAAAATTTCTAACTTTTGAAAGCACAAGAAGATCGCAATAAAGAGTGAAGATTTCAAGCTTGCGAGAGAACAAAAGTATAGCAATAAAGAGTGAAAATTTCAAGCTTGTAAAAGAAGAAGAAGAAGAAGAAGATAGCAATGAAAAGTGAAATGTTTTGAAGTTGATGCTTGGTTAGAAAATTGGGTTGAACAGCGCAGATTGGCCGCGATTGAAATTGGAGTAGTAACGTCGGATTAATGCAATATTGCTTCTGAATGGGTTAATATCCGAGGTCGAGGATCGCGATTGTTGTAATAAAACGGCTCAAAACGGGCAGCGTCTTCTGCAATTACCCAATATCGTTCGTTTATCTCTGTCGCGTTGATAAACGCCTCGTCGTTCCGCGATCCCCGTTGCAAACAACGACAGTTTCGTTGTGACTCGTTCTTGTCGATTCTACTTCTTACTTCTTCGAAGAACCATACTTCTTCCACAAATTTTCCCTGTATAATTTAATTTTTGCTTTCTTTGCTTAACTCTGTTAGTGCCGAACGACGATATATCGTCGTTTGGTACATTAGCGAAAAGTGCCAATGACGATATATCGTTGCGCACGCGTTGGCGTCTTATTATACGAATCACAAGAGAGCTGTATCTCAAAATAACTTTATAAAACGTTAAAATACTTCAAATTCGATGCAACACAATTGAAAGAAAAATGTTTATTAGATTTTTTTGTTATATCTTATGCTGATCAGTGCCAAGGCTCTGTATATGTCGGAACGATAAGGTAGAAACGGGACACGGGATATCCCTCGATACGGGACACAGTTTCTTGGGATCGTAATCGCAATCTTTACGATAGTTATAGTTAATAATAGTTATCAGACACCTCAAGTGACACGCCGTGCATCGACACGGCGGGACTAAGATCTTTCTTCCAGTCTTTTTGACCCTTCTAAAGAACAGTCAGTGTTCGAAAACCGTCAATGTTTTTATAAAAATACAATTTGTACTTTTTTTTATTAAAAATTACTGAAAATGAAGTACTTATATTTTATACCACGTGACCTACATAAAATAGATAAAACGCTGATTAGTGAAAATATTGTTTGNAAGCTCGTCGAAGAACAAGAAGATAGCAATAAAGAGTGAGAAAAACGTTCAAACTTTTGAAAGAACAAGAAGATCGTAATAAAGTGTGAAAATATCGAGCTTGTGAGAGAACAAGATGGTAAGCAATAAAAAGTCAATATTTTCAAACTCATGAAAGAACAATAAGACAGCAGTAAGGAGTGAAAAATTTCTAACTTTTGAAAGCACAAGAAGATCGCAATAAAGAGTGAAGATTTCAAGCTTGCGAGAGAACAAAAGTATAGCAATAAAGAGTGAAAATTTCAAGCTTGTAAAAGAAGAAGAAGAAGAAGAAGATAGCAATGAAAAGTGAAATGTTTTGAAGTTGATGCTTGGTTAGAAAATTGGGTTGAACAGCGCAGATTGGCCGCGATTGAAATTGGAGTAGTAACGTCGGATTAATGCAATATTGCTTCTGAATGGGTTAATATCCGAGGTCGAGGATCGCGATTGTTGTAATAAAACGGCTCAAAACGGGCAGCGTCTTCTGCAATTACCCAATATCGTTCGTTTATCTCTGTCGCGTTGATAAACGCCTCGTCGTTCCGCGATCCCCGTTGCAAACAACGACAGTTTCGTTGTGACTCGTTCTTGTCGATTCTACTTCTTACTTCTTCGAAGAACCATACTTCTTCCACAAATTTTCCCTGTATAATTTAATTTTTGCTTTCTTTGCTTAACTCTGTTAGTGCCGAACGACGATATATCGTCGTTTGGTACATTAGCGAAAAGTGCCAATGACGATATATCGTTGCGCACGCGTTGGCGTCTTATTATACGAATCACAAGAGAGCTGTATCTCAAAATAACTTTATAAAACGTTAAAATACTTCAAATTCGATGCAACACAATTGAAAGAAAAATGTTTATTAGATTTTTTTGTTATATCTTATGCTGATCAGTGCCAAGGCTCTGTATATGTCGGAACGATAAGGTAGAAACGGGACACGGGATATCCCTCGATACGGGACACAGTTTCTTGGGATCGTAATCGCAATCTTTACGATAGTTATAGTTAATAATAGTTATCAGACACCTCAAGTGACACGCCGTGCATCGACACGGCGGGACTAAGATCTTTCTTCCAGTCTTTTTGACCCTTCTAAAGAACAGTCAGTGTTCGAAAACCGTCAATGTTTTTATAAAAATACAATTTGTACTTTTTTTTATTAAAAATTACTGAAAATGAAGTACTTATATTTTATACCACGTGACCTACATAAAATAGATAAAACGCTGATTAGTGAAAATATTGTTTGTAAAAGAGAAACATGTTTCAATGTTTTTTATTATTATTTATATTGCTGTTATTCAAATAATTTTCAATAAGTATTGGAATACAATCGCCATTACATTACTCTCCCATTCTTCTCCTATACGCTGTATTTTGAATTTTTTAAATATTATTCTTAGTTTCGTTTTTATGGGCTTTTTCCTAAACCATAGTAAATTCGTCAAATTCGTGCGGTTATCTTCGCATAGACACCCGTTTTTCGTTCGACACTAAAAGGATTAAAAAAATGGATCAAACGAAACGGTAGATTGATAACAACATCTGATAACAACCGTTTAAAACCGTCGTAATATCGGTTCTAACTGAAACTGCGGATTTATGTGCACAATTATAATTGTCTGCTGCGTTAATTGCAAGAAACAAATGAAGCGAAGAGTCATTATTTCTTTAAGAAACGAGAAGAAAACAGAAACTTGATATTCTCGAATGCATTTAATCTTTTCACAGTGTGAAATTTGACTTGCTCATTCTTGCCATAAGTGCATAAAATACGCAGTCCGCTCGTAACAGTTACGAGAATTTTTCGTTTCAAAAACCCTAAACTAATATCGTAATCGTTTCCAACTGCTGAACAAAATCCGCGTCAATTAATTTTGCATTTCATTTGTTTTCACCACGAGAAACATTCTGCTCGGCGGCAGAGATTTTCCTTTGCTCCGAAGTTTCCATAGTAAGTCGCGAATATGAATATTGGCCTGTGCGTGAGATCTTGTATAGTTCTTGTTCCAGTGTCTATATAGCACTTGGGTTCCAAGTTTAGGGGAACATTGTACACGTCGGCGGAATGTCCGCGAGCAATGCAGAGTTTCAAGAGCAAGGCAAAGGGTGGAATGTTTAAACTCGGAACGCGACAGTTGCTGGCGCTGGTTATTGACACAGAGGGTTAATGGAATAACTTAACGAAATAACGACGTGACGGGGAACGTTCTTCGGCGGGCGTAAATGCGCGTCGCGACGATACAAAAGACGAGGTGTTATCGAACGCACTTCCGTCGCGTCTGCTCCGTCGACGTCGACGTCGACGTCAAGCCCGCCAGAGTTTTCCTTTTCTGGTGGCGTGGCCGACGTAGCCGCCGGTTCCTCGTCAATTTCACGGCTAATGGGGACGAGTGATATTTGCTGGGCAATTTAATGAATTCGCCTAATGGGCGGGGGGAGGTAGAATTTCTTAATGGAGCAACGGCGGGAGCAGTCCGTCGGTAAACAGGCAAACACGATCGCTCATTAACCCCCCACCGCCCTCGCGCTTTATTTAAAGCCGCGCCGTTTATTTTCAGTGGTGCCTGGCAATCACTTCGGATCGCCTCGGAAACAATGGAAATTATATCATTTCCGATCATTTCCTATCTTCATCCAGAAAAATTTGTCAACGGAAAAAGTTATTTTACAACCACCAGTCCATTAACCCTTAACTACTGCAGTAATCAGAGTGACATCAATGTTCGGATAATGGAACAATTACTTAGTAAAAGTACCAGGTGTCGTCTTTACTGATTTGTACAGTAAATCGTTTTGTATATGATTTACCTTTGATTGGGCGGATTACAAGTTAAAGGTATTCGAATAACAGATTATTCTGATGTTGGAGAACCGGATAATCGAGGTTTTACTATATTGCTTGGCTATAGGACCGTTATCAATTACTTATTTATCTGTGGTAATAATATAATTCCAAGAACAATTATGGAAAAAGGACAGATGGAACGTTTTTAATACATTTGCTTCTATTCGGTCGGACTTGGAACCGTTCGTTATTGCTGTGCAAAGTATGAACCATTTTAATGTCAATCGTAGCAGAATAAATATCAGCGATACATGAGACCGCTAATAGTGATTACATAAGTTTTAATAGGTGTGGTAATTATGGATTAATAGATTATTAGGTTAATTTTATGCAAAGTAAAAATTGTGTGCATGTATCGCAGGATACAGGAGCTAAATAGACATTCATTTCTTCTCTCAATCACTTTAAAGCGTTAAAATTAATGTAACAGCATTTTTTCATCCTCCATATGTTTTTATCGTTTTGCATTTCATCTACTTATTTTTGCTATAAATGGATAAAATGCGTAAAATAATATATCTCTTGCGTACGTACGTTCACTTGAATGCTTAAATATTGGCGACAACAGAACGTGGAGTTAAGGTCTCAATATTGATAACAGAAGTGTTCGAGTCTGGCGCGTTGTTATAGCGCATAATTTGTTAAACATTGCGCTACGGAGGGATTCGATTAAATTTACAGGAAATTCTCCCTAATTTTCCTCCAGCTTGTAAACAAAAATGGACAATTAGGGAAGGGGAGATACGATTATTTAGGCCTCGCACCTCAAATAACTTTGCATGGCTCAAATGAGCCACTAAGCTCGAATAATCGTATCCCCTCTTGCCAAGTTGTCCATTTTGTTTACAAGCCGAAGGAAAATTGGGGGAATTTACTGCAGTTCGATATCGTTCACGAGAGGTTGATCCGACTGTCTCCTGCCGCTTTTACGGTAGATGCTATTTACGGCGTTATTTGGACCGAGTTTGAAGGGTTGCTTGGATGACTGAGTATTCCGGTAATTTTTGCAACGCTATATTTAACTGTTGCCGAACGAAGTTACCGTTCCGAGAGCCACGAATCTCCCGGAGAACTGTTTCGACTAGTTTCGTGACGATTTTGTTGCAGGTGGAACAGATCACGACCGAGTACAAGGTTCTCGCCCTTCAGTACCACCCGGACAAGAACGAAGGCGACAAGGAAGCCGAGCGGAAGTTCCAGCAACTGAAGGTTTGTTTCCAAGTCTCTTAACTTCCTTCGAAACTACGGAACAAACATCCTCTGCACTGATTTTCCCAGTGTCGCGCATCGTTAACGGTAAACCTAGCGCGTCGGTCAAAATCAGCGGGCGCGCAATTTTTATTTTCACATTGTTGGAATCAGGTTTAGGTCAGCAGAACGAGGGTCGATCGAAAGATTCGTCGATGCTTTCACAGTGTCGGTGAACGCCTGTTGTCGATGAAACTCGATTTCGGCGAACTCGTGTCGACGAAGACATAGTCGGCGAAGCGATCGTCGTCGAGACCTCGAAGTAAACCGTAGAAATCAGTTCACGATATAACTAGTTCGTGGCTACGAATTAATTGGCGGAAAATGAGTCACCGGTAACTGGTTTCGCCTTAGTTTTTGCTACAGTTCGCTTTGCCGATGCTACGCGACAACTCCGACAGACTGTCGAGTTCAAACAATCCATCAGCTCAAGAACAATCGTTGACGTGATTCTAAACCTTCAAAACTTTCTTCCAACATCGCAGATTCTGGAACGTGTTATTTTATCTCCTGCTCGAGAATTTTATTCACCTCGCGAATCGATTCGGTCGGCGAACGATAAAATGGTGTCCCATCGCATCACGCCTCTCGTATAATTTTACAACAATTTTCATAGGAATGCACAATGCACCGCAATCGACCGATAATTCTCTAATTTCTGCCTACTGTCGCACGTCGCGAGTCGCGGGAAATTTCATTGCACCATACCTGAAATTCGACAGTCGGTTTTCATCGGATTTCCTGGCAATTATACCGGCAACAGATTATATTAATTCTCCGACGTGTCGTATTTCATCTTACGTCGAATCCGATCGCCCAATGGAAACTGTAAAATAAAACGGCTCCGCGTCTGATAAATTCCTTGGAAATAATATCGCGTTATAAAAGCAGCTGTCAGATTCTCTGATATTATAATTCCGGTGCAGAGGCACGCGATAAAAAGAAGACGAAGCGCGTCGGAAGCGCGTCGATCAAACGCGCGCGTATCGTGCTGCGATCGAAAGGCTCTACTCGTTGTTTCCTCTTTTCTGTTATGGCAGCACGCGAAAGAGGTTCTCTGCGACCCTGAGAAAAGAAGCAACTACGACAAATGGAGGCGTAGCGGGATCGCTATCAGCTACAAGCAGTGGCTCGGAATGAAGGAGCACGTTCACCAAGTGAGTCAACTTGAAAAATTCCATCGCGACGTCCTCGCGGGCGCAACAATGGGGGGCGAAGATGTCGGACCCGTTCGTGCGAGAAATTTCTTGGCCCGGAACCTCTCTGCTCCGCTCGTCAAATCTTTCCTAGAATGTCGGAACTACCTTCCGGAGAAGCATTATTCGGCATACCTCGCGTCCGCGACTACTCGCCGGTATTTTAAAACCCTTTGTGTTCCGCGCAAATTGCTCAAACTTCGATGAAGGAAGTTTATTTGTCGTGGTTTAATTTTACAATGCGCAGAGAAATTTTTAACGAACCGCGTCGGAAGCTGTTCCGAAACTTCTTTGGAAGAGAATTCTGCTCTCGGTCTAATATAATAACTTTTCTTTGGATTGGTAGCCTTTGTTGGATTATTTATTTATTTATTTATTTATTCATGTAAATATATACGGGCAAAAGACTCTTTCTTACGAACGGAGAAAAAGCTTTGCAATAGTTGTTCACAGGCGAGCGATACCTACGATACCTAACGATACTGTAGGTGCATTTTTTGCATTTAATTTTTGCACATATTTATTCGAACGCTTTTGTCAATCTGACATGAAAATGTTTCCATGGAGAGTTTATCGGTTTCCTGCCGGCTATTTAACAAAATATTGGCTTTAAAAGACATTATTATTTCTCTTCGCATTTACTCAATATAGTTGTTCAATTTTCTAGAAATTTCTCGCCTGACCCGGGGTTGTAGAACCTCCATTATCGGAACATAGATGAAATTTTTGATTCGATACAGAAAAGAGTTTATAACTGGAAACATTGGAAAGCAGACCTGATTATTAGACAGCTAGTGTTGAATCGGTGAGCATATTGGCCAACTATGGTTAGCGCTATTTCATTTAATTCATTAATCAGTCAATTAAATCGCTGCTTATTAATTCAAGGAAATATTGCTGCACTGAACAATTGGGTCTAATAATCCCCAAAAAGTATTCTCAAAAGTTCGAACAAAAATCGTGAAGATCTCATTACAGTATTTAGGAAGTCCTGTAGGAGCTTATGAATTTAATTATCGGAAACCTATTAATAGATTATGGAATAATTGAGCTCCACATAATGAAGTTCGATAATTGTCTTTTAAATAACAATTTCGGAAGACTTTGTTACATTATGTGGATCAGAATAATTCGTTGAATTAAGCGTGAAATTGCTGTCACTTTCGAACTATTTTTTATGGAATTTTTAACTGTTGATTTTCGATGTTAATCCTTTGACAGTCACGTCACCCGTATGTGGGTCACAGAAATATTTGCTCGGTTTTGAACATTTATTGTTACTCTAATCTATTATATTAGCTCGATTAAATAATTTTACTTTGATTTAATTTAATTTTATGAAATATTTGTGATTATTGGCGTGGCAGTCAAAGTCTCAAAAGGACTAGAAAATTTCCAGTAGGTAAACTGTAAAGAACTGTTTCCTCTGAAAGAAAAATTGCTTTTCCACGTTTCTGAAAACTGTCCGTGGAGGCAGTTCACACAGTTTACGATTCGGTTCTGGGCAGCTCAATATTTCAGTGGCCAGTGAGCAAAAGTTTCCGGTGTTGTTCAATGTTTCTATCGTATAATGGAGGTTCCGAGTTCCGCCTTCCCTGTTAACCCTCCTACGGTGTTGGTAAAAACTTATCTTCTAACTTAATTTAACAGAAATTACGATGAAAGCTATTGGTGCTCGGGTCATATAATCCTGATTAAAAAAATACTTGGATATCTTTACGATCTGCCCTGTAATACAATGTGTTTAAGCTTATTACGTAAAAGGGTAGAACGATTAATATGAAAATATCGAAGGGAGGAATACAATTGCTTTGCAGAATTATCAATATTGATCAGAGAAACAGACAAAATAAGCAGGATTTATAATTTAATATTATAATTTAAAAAATTATAGAATATAAAGTATCTTAACTTTTACAAAACATCATAAATCTAACAATTTCTATTTCACACTTATGCAATCAATTTTATGAAAAACTCGTCCACTATTTTAAAATTTGCATAAAAATAACAGAGTCGATAGATTTGGCTCCAATAAGGTGGCAATTGGGATAGTTATATAACTTAATACAGGGTCTGGATCATACATATAGACCCGAAACACCATAGAAGGGTGAACACTAGGTTTACGGAGTACTAACAGCAAGCACTTTATTTAACTTGATCAAGAACTGTTTATGCAGATTTTTAACGTTATGTATCACATCCGCGATTGCTGGGAAAAATGCCTCCTGTCACGTTTTCACCTCCAAGATATTGTTGCTTAAAGTATTGTCTGATCACTAATGCTTTGTTGCGTTTTAAATTGCATAATTTTCGCGAGCCCATCGAATTCGTTTCCATGATTCTATTTCTGACAAATACGTAAATCCTTTCGATCCATGCATCAATTTAAATGTTTAGAAACTGTGACTTCGTGATTTCGTGGAACTGTGACTTGTTCCAACCTTTCTGAGCACACTGCACATATTTCAAATCGCGAATAATCGTAATCTGAAAAATTCGGAACCCGTAAACGAGTCCCGTAAACCCAGTGTTCAAAGAAGCGAGAGGGTGGTGGTGGTGGTGGTGGGTGGTGAATGGCGTGTATCGGAGAGTGGTAGAGCCTAATCAATAAGAAATGCAATCGAATGCGTCGCAGTCGATGCACTGGAGCACACCGAAGACGAAGGATCGCATGCTGCAGGACGCGTCGGGCGAGGCGGCCGGTTCCCCAGGGCAGACCAAGGTGCTCCCGCCGAACGCCCATAGGAGAGCATCGGAAGGTGGCGCGAATATTTATTACGGGGCCCGTCGCGATCACGGATGGGACTGCGACGCGCCCAGCGAGGTGGTCAACAAGTTCCGCAACTACGAGATCTAAGGGGCCGAGGGATTTCCACGAGGGAGCCCGTTGTCGCCAGGACCAACAATACACTTACTTGCGTGTCTACCTTTCAGCTATACGGAATGGAAACAACCAACACGGAGAGAAGGCGAACAGCATCCAACACGTAACACACTCTAACAGCTCGATACATGAATTTCACGTTCGTCATTGTCCAACCGAGGGATGAGGTGAACGGGGTCCTGGAATCGGTGGGTCCTAGCCGATGAAGCCGAAGAATCTTTTTGCAATTTGTTTGTTTCGCTCGCGAGCTGATCGGAGGATCAACCTGGAGGATCATGATTGATGCTGCGGAAAACGACGACGAACTGTAAACAGCCTCGATCGTTTTGCTATTATTTCACGTTCGCTTGCTCGGAGACGAAGGTTCATCGCCGACCTATGGTTTCGTCGTTTGGTTTCGCGAACGTTCGTTGCGACTATACACATCATTTCGGACAGATTAAAGAAGAGAGGAAGCACGAAGACGTGGGGATTCGCAGATTGCTCGTAAATGGAATCCTCCGCGATTTCGCTGCATCGCTTTTTGTTGACGATCCGCCGGGGACGAAAGATGGAGCCGTAATTTCGTTCCCATTTGTCAGTTAGCCGAGCATAATTGTTCCGGGAGCAGCTATCGAAGTTCCCGGATGACTTTGTAACCTTGTTTTCGTTTCCGAAGTGACTGGAGGCCGAGGTTATTAAGCATCTTCCGAAAGTTCCGGAAGAAGAGTCCGCATGATTTTGTGATTCTGTTCACGCTGGCGAAGCCGACGGGGTCCGATGGTATAATGATGCCAAGGTACTCCGAGGATTTTTCACGTTTCATTTCGTCGTCGACCACTGTACCTGAAGAACCGACAGCGTTCTCGCGCGGTGAAAAGAAACCGTAGGACGTCGGTGGACCGAAGTTTCGACGCAGCGGGAAAAGATACTATTGTTCCGGGAAGAATCGAGTATTGTTACGGAGGAAGTCGCGGAATCGAAGGTCCACGGGGGTGAGTTTATAATCTTGTTTTCATTTGCTGGGAGAATGGAAACTGGCGTTGGACGAGGGCGAAGAAAAGGGAACCGAAAGGGGACACGATGTAATTTGATTATCGTCGACGCTGGAAGAGGAGAGGCGCGAAATGAGAAGTTCTTATTTTAACACGGTACAAAATGCGATTGAAAAGAGCAGGCGGAAATTGAATAGGTATTTTAAGTGTACAAAGCGGAGAGAGAAAGAACGGGATCTTCTGAACTTCGTTATTCGCGTCGTAGCGAGGAATGTTGAATAACGCGCGTTGAACGAAGATAACGGACAGATAATGAAGGATCTTTCGAACCTAATTGAAATTCGCAAGGGGAGTATCGTTCAACTGTAACACGCATTGAAAAGGGGGAAAAAACGATCTTCCGCGGTTAATTGCATTCGCGGTTAGAACGAAGAAAAAGAGGGCGATACAATTTAATCATTGCGAATCTTATTATCTACACTGAATAACGAGAGAGAAGATGATCAGGAGAGAGAAAGAGAGAAAGAGAGAGAGAAGGGGGGGAGAGAGGATATAATTATGAGAGAAGAAAGAATGATGAGACAAAGGAGGCAGCCTTAATGATCCGCATCAGAGTGGAAGAAAAATGGAGCGGGCAAGAAGATGACGGTGGAATTTAATTATCATAGACAATGAAGTGAGACGAGGAGGAAGAGGCGGGGGCGGTTTTAATCCAAACGTCGTGCATCGAGGAAAGGGGAACGGCCAGATAAGCAGGACGGTCTAATTTTGTTATCGATCCTGATTTCGAGGTCCTTTTTTTAGAGGCGTTCGATCGATCTCGAAGACTCGAAGCTTTCTGTTCTCTGGAGGATCAGCGGGAGGACAGGGCGCGCGAGCGCTGTGTTCCAGCTTTCGATTTTTAATTATCGACGCGTTGTTGCGCTCAGCCATGACGACGCGACGGGGACAGACTCAAAGGCTCGCCGGCCAGAGATGGAAGTTCTACGATCGGTTGGACGGTGGTATTGATGTCATGATGTCGTGTCGAGCAGTGCTGGATTTCCACGATTCCACGGAGGGATCCGAAAACGTAAGGGAATAAATAGTTGTTTCTACTTGTACGTTACTCGCGACGGAACGCGCTCGAGTGGCCCGCGATCATGCTCCTTTAACGAGATTTCGAAGTAACGCCCGTGGAAATTGCACGTAATTAGTTTCGTTCGCTTCGCTGCACGGTTGCGAAATGTTAGAAGGTTACTCGAATTCCCGACTGTGTACCATCGTTGATTGCTTTTGTCAATATTAGCTGATTTAGAAATATTTCGAGCGTTGGAAGTTCAATAAAAAGACGAGATTGCGTGGATTCCAATAAGATGTAAGCACGGTTCGCAATTTTCTTTGCTCGCTTCGAATCAATCTGTGCAGACTAACGCTTTGAGGTTCGGAAATATTAATAAACGGACTGCGGATTTTATGCGTATATATGACGAAAATGAATAGATGAAATCGAAAACAGTGAGAACATTTGATCAATTTAAAGATTAACCAATGGCATTGCGTTCGACGCATTAAACATATCGAGAAAGGAAACAAGTGTTTGCTAAGCTCCTGCGTCATGCAGTCGATGCAGACGATTCTTATTTGGCATAACGATCCACGGTCTGTATTAATAAACAAACGTCCAGACATTGTGCAACAGTTACGCCGCTTAGTTTACTCGATGCGAGTTTCATCTTTGATTCATCGCGGTTTCCCTTCGACAGACTATTTCGTGACGTTGCTTCGCTGTGTAGAATTGATTTCATAGATAAAATAAAATCCGCTCCAGAGGTATTCCGCAAAATAACAGAATGAATCGATTCGAGCGCTTCGATGAGACGAAGCGACGCGATTCGCGAGGTTCGAAGCGTAACGGCACTCGAGCGGTTTCCCGCGACGTCGAGTAACTAGAAGAAAATAAAAAAAAAAAAACTAATAAAACGTAACTCGTTGTTCTAAACATTGAGTGCTCCTCGGTGGAGACCTTAATCAGTTTTGCGAGCTTGAAAACCGCGTCCCGACGGCGCACGTCCGCCGCGGCGAAGATTTTTCCGGGCGAAGGGAAATTGTTTAAGCGTTCGTATGCCACTGTCGAGCAAATCGATGACGGCGCACTTGTACCTGTGTCAAACGCAAAATGTATATCGTTTTTTCTCTCGACGACACTTGAATGTTTCGGAGAGTCCAAACACTACCCCCATAGATCTCGCGCTCACCACCCCCTCTAAATCCCGCGTATTTCAACCCCCTCGCCGGAGAACCGGTCGCGGAAGAACGATATTTCGTCCTGGCAAACTGTCCGTCGGACTTTATCGATATTCATCTATCGCGTTTATTTTCGAAACGGGATTGGAAGCTGGCCGGAATGACGCACGCGAGTAGATTGTTCGAAGAACGGCGGATTAAAAAATATATGCCGCTTGTACTCCGCTTTCCGGAGTTTTCTGAAACTTTCGATTTACACGTTCGCTTTGACGTACTCTCGTCAACGTTACGCTTTGTTTTCTGGAATTATTGACGCGATGTAATTTTAATTGGAGATTCCCGTCGCGGTTAAATCGATTTACAGACGAAAAATTCACGTCTGTACACTCCTGTTTGTACGATTCAATACGGTAAAGAATGCAGACAATGGAACATGCGCACCTGGTTATTAGGCTGTTAGTGTAACGTGAGCTGCGTCAGTTACGATTGAATTGGCGCGATCAATTCGACTATTTCATTCGATGCATCATGTTTAGCTAGCTTAGAGCCAGCCAATTAAATTGGTGCTTACTAATTCAGATTTTGCTGCACTGAAAAATTGGGTCGAATAATTCCAAAAATGATCCTCAATAATTCAAACAAAAATCGTGAGGATTTTATTGCAGACTTTAGGTAAAATGCACATTTTTTGTTACGTTTATTCTGCATCAATTCAAAGTATATTTGTTCATGTAATCACGGTAACTTACGCACTTCTCAAAGAGGTTGAAACAGTTAACTAGTCAATTGAAAGTGTTACAAATGTTCTCTGATCGTTCCGGCACCAATTTGTACATCATTGTTCAAATTTACGTCGGAAATAAACAAAACCGTGATTTTAAATCTATGACCGCTGGTGTATTTTCGCGGGTCAGGCGAACGTGTTAATTCGACGGTGAATCGATACAAAGGGAAAAGAGTCGAAGCGAAAATGGGGTTCGAGAGGCATCGCTAAGAGCTTCCGTCGACAATACCGAAATATTCGGTTCGACCGCAGCTTTTCAATAGATCGAAAATACGAGCACTCAATTTATCAATTTCGCCATTGAAAGCCACTCGACGGCTCTGAATAGACTCGAAATTTTCCGCGTGACGCTCGATTTCTGACGACCAACAAATCGACATATCGCCCCCCCTCCCCTCCCCTTCCAAGTGAAACACAGCGATTTACAATGGTCGGCCTCCTGTGTATCGTCTCTCGGCGAAGGGGTTGTGACAAGCTCGACTTCTTTTTCACCGTCATTCATCATCTCGATAGCACACCCTCTCACGACAGCGAGTTACATCATCCGCGAGTTGTTTTCGCGGCGTGGCAAACATTCATTCGATGGATCGTTTCTTTCTACTTCTCGTTTCATTCTCGCGCGAACAATCGTGATCAGTGGGCTGCGAATTTTCTGCCTTTGTGGCGACCATTGCCGAAGCTAGGCCTCGATGACACCGAAATGTTTCGGGCGACTTCGCTCGGGATCACCAACGTTTCGTTCCCATTTTATAACGCGGCAACAATTTTGTCGGGCACGACAATATCTGGCCGGCATTTTATCATTTATTACAGTCTCGTTTAACGTCCTTCGCATCGTTTGATCGACCTCATGCATTCGCGAATATTTGCCGAAATGCAAAGCTGTGACGGCACTGGAAGAATTCAGGGCGAAGTATCGTCGTTGAGTTCTCGTTGCGTTTAAACGACTCGAAACATTTTTATTTCGTCGCGTAGAGATAAAAAAAAATGCAGAAGATTCGCAGACCAGTGGCAAGAAGAGAAACATTTTTCTAATCGATATCCTTTGACACTTCTGTTCGGCCATAATTAAGAAACCCGGCCGTAGGTAGCCAATGATCGACACCCCGAAAATAGCAACAGTCGACTCGTCTGTATCGATGTGACCTTTCGATATTACATTCTAATAAGGCTCGATGGTACGGCTTAACGGGAAAAAAAATCTCGTCTCTCGCGTATCATTCGTTCTACGATGTACCATGGTTACCATGAATCTAGGACGGCCTGTGTGTTTTACTCTTGCGAAGAATTTCCATTTGTTCGCTTGGCAGAGAGAATCGGAGCACTTAATCCTTTATACTTCGCTGTAACTTTGAAGTCGCATGCTGGTTTATTGTCAATGTTCTTGTATTCCATTGAATTTTTAGCCATAACATCCGTGGCTTGTCCTATAGTTTCGCCTTCATAATCAAGAAAATTATGCATCATAATTTTACTATGTCCATCGGTGTAAATGAATGTTTTCTAAACATTGTAAATTTTGAAGATTTCATTCGAGATTTAATTCGACCGATCCGTTTTACATTTGTTAACGACAACAGCGATGAAATTGATCTATTTGCGGTAAATGTTACTAGATTTAAAACAAGCCTTTACAAACTGTTCATCCTTCGCCATAAGTTACGCTTCGTATTCGTCATTGTAAAAATGGGTGTTTAACCGAATATACGTAAATCGATCGATCAGATCAAATTGAAATTCGTTGTCAAATTCGTCGTGATAAGATATCGTCATACATAGTCTACTAAATCTGAATGTCGCTCGTTTCTTATAAATTCAAATGAAATTGTGATTCTTCTGATAGGAACGAAAGGAACGAAAACGAACGAAGACATACGATGAACAGAAAAGTAGTCTCGTTCGATTAGAGAAATTATCGACGACGAATCATTTGTATCCGAAGATTGCGTTCATAGAATCGCTGGTTACAACGTTACATCAATTATTTCGACTACGTACGATAAATGTCGGACCGTAGAGGATTCATTCAGCGATGTTACGCGTGTTCTTGTTCGAGAAGGTTTGTAACAGGTTGCTTCTAGATTCGTGCGACCACGAGGATTCTCGCGAATCGCTTCTCTGCTTCCCCATCGCAGCGAAGTACCAAACAGTCTTCAGGAAGTCCCGAGCCCGGCGCGCCGAGCTTGTACAATTCCGATACACAGGCCGAGGAATAATATTGAAACGGCGAACGAAGCGTGCACGGAGTTCGATGCATATCGTCGGCGACGGTGCGAGATTTTCGCAATAAAATCCGGGCCGGAGTCGCGGCAATATCGACGAAAGCACACTCGGAAGTACTCGAGAGCCGGACGACACGACCCGCTATCGATCCCTATGAGAGTTCTCATATCCGGATCAAACTTTTAACCTTTCGCGCTCTGAATATTCCGCCGCGGTATTTACATTTTCTGAGGCGCATCAGGCAAATACCCTCGATACTGTTACGGAAAAAGAAACGTTTATTTGCGACCGGCAGATTGCAGTTCGAGCCTGCTCGCCGGGAAATTGGACGTTCGAACGCTCCGCAAACACTGCGCCCAGCTGTATTGTTTTAAACTAGAGAAGCGAGCGTGGTGTTCTCCGTTGGAAAATTTGCTCCACCCGTGGAGTCCCGTTTATATCCCGGCTAAGCAGAGCGACACGAACCTTCGGATGGTAGAACGGTCGCTTGGTTACAGTGCCAGATTTCAACTTTATTGATTCGCACGATGAAACGTATTTGGACAATAGAGAAATCTGATATTGGAGGATCGGATAATCGAGGTTCTACTGCTCTTTGTTGCGAAACGTCCTTCGAATGTTGCGGAAAAGCTGGATTATAGTCGGTGTTCGGCAGAATTTGATTCGGATGGCGGAGAAGGGATAAAGGCCGATGAAGTTTGATTCGACGGTGTCGAATAAGAATTTAGCGGCATAACAATTTATCCGAGGAAGATTTTGTTCGAACCAGAATTTTGTTCGAATACGAATTTAATCGTACAGGTATTCGTACGGAAATTGATCGAATCGAGTAAAAATTATAGAATATAAATTGTTTTTTCATAGTTTGTCGAATGATTTCTTCCATTTTGATTCTTTTAAATGTTGCATCCGGAAGTTTGTCACTTTTGGTTAGATTGATCGTTGCTGCTTACCTAAATAATTATTCCGCGGATGCGGAAATTGAAATTAAATTATTAAATTATATTATTAAATAATATTTACAAACTCTATTCGAATAACTTATTCGAATAAAGAATTATGCGAACAATTTATTCGAATAAATGGATAGAATAATTTATTCGAATAAATGGATAGAATAATTTATGACGAACAATATAGTTACCCGAATCAAATATTCGACTAAAGAGTATTCATTCCGATAATCATCTTAAATAAATTCGAAACAATTCGAATAATGCCGGACACCGATTATGGCGTAACATTTATTCCCCGATTATATAGAGTTTCATCGTTCGCGATATTCCGGCAAACGAGAAACGAACAACGAGAGGATTTTATTAAATGGAACGGTACAGTCTGCGATGTAAACGTTGGAAAATCGTTAGCAACGTTAACGCAGAGCTTTAAGTTAAGCCGCCTTCATATTGTAATTGAAATTTAAACAGCGCCGACAACGGAAACCATGGAGACGGGACAGCTTAACGCGCGGGCTTATCAAAATTATCGAAAGAAGCATCGACCACGAAAATTGTCAGTTCGCAGGAAAGTCCGCAGTGAGAATATTTTCCGGTCGAAAGACGAGCATCGATAGCAGGATCGTGTCCGTCCCAGGAGCACAGATAAGAATCGACCACTTCGTCGAGTCCGTTCGATGTTACATGATAATAAGGGAGATTCTAGGTGGCCGGGAACCGAGCGGAGAGAAAAAAAAGACCGGAGTCACGATAACCGGAAAACTGTCGCTGGACGTTGAGAATGTGTCCGAAGATAAAAAGAAAACCTCATCAGTCGTAATGCATGTCTATCCTCCGCGGGGAAACGAAACTTCTGAGCCATCCTGTACGTGTGTGTGTCCTACATCTATATTTTTCTAGACGCGTCTCTGCGATTCCGCCTCGTGGAACACTGTACCTTCTATCTATTCATTATTTCCGCGCGATCGACCTATCGACGATGTCGTGCATTCGGGGAGGGAGGGCGGACAGAGACACACGTCGATCGTTGAGAATTTATAAAAACGTTAAACGTAAAAATATCGAACGGTTTATATCCCGGCAACGGTCTTACTCGGATTAGCGCGGATAAAATGTTCGGTGAACCGCGGGGAATCTTGCCAGGAGATGCCGATACTTGTGCAGACGAGATTATTCTCCGGTTTTCTTCAGTTTCGAAAATTTCCGAGCGAAAAAACCACGGTTGTTGCACTCTTCGAGGCACGTCAAAGCGCGAAGCGATGCGCTCCGAGTTCTGTACATCTTTTTGTCTTTTTCTTTTTTTTTTGTTTGTTCATTCTGCGTAGATCAGTGCGGATCGAATGAATTGCAAAAGGACAATAGGAAGCGAATTCAATGTAATTGAATGAACGATGCGCTAGTTCGGGGTAGAACCGTTCGCAGGAGAGCCAGCACAGTTTGTAAACTATTTTTGAAGTCGAGACCGCGTAACCGAAGAACAGAATATCGGAACGAACTTTGTAAATTTTGATACAGTACAAAGGAGATATGAGAATTATTATAAACGATTGTTGGAGACCTTCTCGACGTCGGCTTCTCGCCTCCCCGGAAACGTGTGAGTCTCTGTTATGTACGTATACATATGCATATAAATCTAAATATACATATACGATGTAAAAGAAAAACAAATATATATCCGTCACGCGCGCTGGACGACGCGACGATGTGTATTCACGTCATTAAAGGTTCAATAAATGTGTTTAATTAAGATGATCCCGCGCATTTTCTCGCCTGTCCACGCTCTTTTCTTCTCGCGCGATTGCAGATGATACGTGGGAACGTGGTACCGTTGCAAATTACCAATATTCAGGCGAAATTATGCTCTGTAGTGGAAGCCGTTTATGCCGGAGCACTCGAAGTAGCGGCAGCGTAAGTACGAACTTCAGCGAAGTTTAATGCACAGCTCCTATTTCGGTCGATTAATTACCGGGTCAACGCTGTTGCATCGAATAAATCAATCAGGACTGCACATCTTGTTTGCCGGCTAATGAACGGTTTCCTTCGATTCCGGTGTTTCGTGAATTTAATCGTGCGACCGGCCTGTTCGAACGTGCAGTCACTCCGATTGTTTACTTTCACCTTTATTGTCCGATATTATTATTCATGAAACTGTTAGCTTCGATTACGAGCGAGTTTACATCGCGTCAATATTTTTGTATTTCGATGGAAACACTTGCTTCGTTCGATACATTAAAAAAAGTCAGCTAGAGCGCAAATTGAGCGAATTTCGACGGAATTTCAATCGATTCCACTGCTCCAGGGGTTCTCAAGCTTTCTTGATTATTCTGTTGTCAAAGTAAAAACGTAGAAGCAAACGAGAAACGAAACTTGTCTCTTTCTATCAGGGAATTATTAACCCCTTGCACGAAAACAAGTCGCACTCGTGATAAAGATTTCATACACGATCAACTAAATACGAATATATTACTCTTTTCTAAATCGAAAGAAAATTTGATTCTTCCGTTGTCAGAGAAATATATATAATCAAACGAAAATAAGGGAAATTATTAAGGGTGAATACGCGCTAATCAACAATTATGAAAACAGTGGTAATTATTAACGAAGAAGTTCGTTAAATAAGCAATTCAGATTTATCATAGTAAGTACTAATTTAACCCTGTAGTATTCTGAAACTCCCAGCGGCATTCAGTTTGCTCTGTATGTTGCAATTACAATTATAATTAATTAACACGTGACGCGCAAAGCCTGTTTCGTCTTCCATTTCGTTTAGTCCATGTGCAACCCGCGAAGCCCGTGTTTTAACAACGCTCATTACAATCTTTTTTGTTAGCTAGTAATATTTACGTACATTCTTTTATGAACGCCAGGATGTATAAAATTTATTTATATGCAAGAATATCATTTTTAAAATTTTATATCGTCGACTGACACACGGCGCTTAACGTGAAAATTTACGATACGAAATGCTAGTTAAACTCTTTCGTATTCTAAAACCCCCAACGACATTCAGTTTGTTCAAACTATTACAATAAAAGTACAGAATGATTTCCCGTTTCAACGACAGAATTTCGATCGGACCCGTTATCGTACCGTACGGGGAACGTTTCGCGTTGGGAAACACTGGTCTACTCGATCTAGTCGGGAATCGCAATATTGGAAACGTTCGAGCACCGAGCGTGCTCGATGCAACAAGGTATCAAAAACCGACAATTTTCCAGGCACTCGAGCATCCGGCCGCCCACGCGTCGGCAATAAAAGAGTCGCTGGTTGATATTGTTCGGCGAATCAATTCGAAAAATGATCGTACAATAAGCGTTTTATTCGAGAGCCGGCTGGTTTCCCGCGCGATCGCGGCACCGATGGCCGACACAGTCGCGAAAAATAGAATTGAATTAGCTGGCTGTAACGCCGCGGAACAATGGCAGCGCGCGATCCTTTGTCAGCGCGCGGCAAACTTTCCCTATCTCTTGGGACACATTCACGGACGGGGACACGAGAGGGGGGAGCCGTGGCCTAATTTACGGGACGCGAAACTTAATGTCGTTTGTTCGACGGCCG